TTAGAAACGATGGCAAACCCAACCGCGCACACGTGGCCACAAGAACAAAAGTGAAAAAGCTATGGAGTGGGGGCAGCTGTGTCCGCACGAGCAATTTGCCTAAGTACAAGTATATGAGATATACGAGTATACGTATATACTCTAATTTTATATTATTTTATGGACACTAGCTCATAGCTTAAGCTCAAAAAATAACAAAACGAATTGCTATATAAACAAAAGTTGAACGCCATTGGGAAGCTTATTGTTGAAAATTTATGCTTTGAAATACATTTCAGAAATTATAAAAAAAAATTTGTTTGAAAATATATGCTGTTAAAAACATTTGTGAAATTAATTAAAGTAAATAATTAAAAACTGTTTATAATTTTAAAAAGATATATTTCTTGTGGAGTATTTGTGGAGTTCACTTCTATATATTTCTTTTAATTCAAGAGCGGCAATTGCTTATATGAATACAATATTTAATAGATATTGGTGTGTAACAGATTTGTTTTTCATTTTATGGAAAGTTAAAGTTTGTGCGGCCACCACTATATTTAAGATTTAATTTATCGTGAAGACATTTTTCTCATCTTTTGAAATTTTTCAATGAATTTTCTAAACTATATTATATTTTTTGAAGCACCAGAAAAGTAGAGCCTGTTCTGTTCCTACAAAACTATAGAAGATAAAAATATTTATAAATACGGATTTTAAGCCTCTTTGAAACTTATTTGAACAGACTCCGACTGCTCCACTTTTTAACTATCTATTTTTTTGCTGAAAAAATTCTATTAGAAACGATTGTTCAATATACATATCCGTCTATCAGTCGGCGGATCTGCTGCATTTTTGTCTTCTTTTAATGAAATAAATACGTACATATATGAGAGTAAATATAGATGAAACGAAACTGTTTCAATTTTTACAGATTCCAATTTGTACCAATCTTACCTGTTGTTAAAGCTAATGGATGCATAAATTCAAAATATGGGAGGTTTGAGATGAGGGAAGACAGTTGATTTCTTGCAAGCATAAGGAACTGGTAATTGACCTTTAGATAATATTGATCAGTTAATCTAGAATGTTGTAGCATGAAGAACCCTGTTCAAAAATATTAAAACTAAAAGATAATGTATAATATTATCTGTGAAATTCATCCTCAAAATTTCAAAAATTGATAAATCGGCTGCGATTAACATTGTTATCAGTAAATGAAACTAAACTAAACTACTTTTATGCTAAATATAATTCATTTATATATCTATACTATCTATATCTATATATATCTATTTTTATGCATCTTAAGAGGTGTTTTTCAAAAGTTACATCACACCTTTAGAGCACTTTTTTTCCTTTAACTCAATTGCTAAGCGGATATAGTGATAAAGATCGACAAATGAATGGTTTGCTAGCCTAGGGGGCTGCCTCAAGATGATTAATGTTGCTCGCCCAATACTACAACCATCGTACAATGTGATTATACAATATTTGCTTTAGTCACACACACATACTATAAATACCAAAAAACACACTCAAACACCTTTGGCTATGGATAGCAACAAACAAAATGCCAAACATCACGATGACGCGACCACATCTACATCTACATCCACTCAACCAGTCCGAACAATCATTTAATATAGTAAGTCAGTCAGTCAGTCAGTGAAGTCAAGTGTGCCCAAAAATGTATTTGCAAAGAAATTTAGATAAGAACTTTTTACTGCCCGACTACCAGTGTCTACTGCCTACTGCCTGCTGCGGCAATATTTGATTTGCTATCGATCGTGGCAAGGCTTTATGTACTCGGAAAACACATACTCGTACATACGAGTATGTACAGCAAGTACTACTTATTTACTATAAAACATATTGCTACGTGACATTGCGCTATTTGGGCATGTCGCGCGACACGTGTGCCCCGGCGCGTCGCCACCCAGGGACCACTCAGGGACGCACGACGAGCGTTTATGCAAATCCAAATGCTATGCTAATCGGTAGGCTTAAACAATATTCTTAATTCTTGCAAAAAAAAAAAAAAAAAACAGATGAGAAGAAATAAATAACAAGCCAGTGGAGTCATAAAGCAATTAAAATAAAAATAAAGTATGATATAAGCATGCCACTTCCTTCTTTGCTCTTAATCACTTCCTCATCGGACAGGCGGACGGGCGGACAGACTTACGGACGGTGTAGTTTGTGAGCCGTTCTTGGCGCTTCTCACTTTTCCAGCGAATGAGAAAACAAAAACTCGCTTTTTAATAAGAATTTGCAAGAATGCTCACAGCTCGTTGGCTGTTGTTGGTTGTTATTAATATGCAGATCGGATCGGAATGGAACGGATCGGATCGGCTCGGCTCGGCTTGGATCAGATCGCTCTGTCTCTGTCTTGTTTGTCTTTTCAATTTCTGCCTCAACTTTGTTGTCGTTAGAGTTGCGTTAGAAGCGCAATCCAGCCCCACAGTCTACACCTCTTTCTTCCACTTTATCCGTCCACAACCGAAACCTACTGTAAAAACCGGATGGCTAGGTGACTGGCAAGCCAACAACAGCAACAGCAACAACAACACAACCAACAACAAACCCCAAGCCAAAGTCAGGCAAAGAAGAAAGCATGTAGAATGCGGCATTAGAAAGCATATTATGTCATTTATTTATTATGTAAAAAGGCAAGCAACTTCTATCTACGAGTATGGGAAAGTTTTATTTTATTCTTCGTTCACAACATTCCATGTGTGGTTCGGCTTTTTTAATTTCTGTTGTTGTTGTTGTTATTCATAGCATTTTTGTCGTGGTTAGAATTTCACAATTTTTGGTCATCTGCCTGCCAGCGACTACTTAGCTGAGTTAATGCGCAAAAATTTCGTTTTTGTTTTGTTTTTGTTGTTTTGTTGTGCACCCAATTTCGTCTTTTGTTTATCAAAACACCAAATAAAAAATGCTTACGGCCAATGACATGGCTGCAAATGCTTTCTAGCATATTCTTAGCCATCAGAATATTTAAGTGAGTGCCCAAGAGAGCCAACTAAATTACTGTGACATTGTTTAATCGCTTAGTAACGAATACAAATTGTTTCTAAAGTCGTAAGAGTTAGATATGGCTTTTGACAAAAGCTATAGATTTGAGTTACACACGTAGTTATCAATCAATAATTTAGATATTTTTTTACAATTACAATTAGGCTTTAAAAGGCGCATTTGCACAGAGGCATGTCAGGAATAAAATATCACTGCAATTTAATATTACAAAATTTAATTTTCCTTTCAAGGCCTAACTGTAAAGAAACACAAACACAATAAACAAATTATTTGCATGTCTGAGCGTAGCTTGAGAAAGTTGTTGGCCTTAAAAATTAAATTTCAAAAGAAAAATAAATATGTGTATTTACATTAACTAGTTGACGATTCTAGTTTCAAAGCAGGTAGCATCTCAAAACAAACTTAATATAATTACCTTTAAGATCTCAAATTGTTAATTTGTCCATATTGGCAGCAGAATACTAGTTTAATAGATTGTATATAAATGGTTTAGAAAAAAAATGGTTCATTAGTGATATTTATTTAGATCACAACTTTCTTATCAAACCTTAAACTATACATAAGGGATTATTCCTCAGAATGTGTTTGCTTTAAGCTTGCAGTATATAGAATCTTAATCAGCATGAAGAGACAAATTATTCTAGATATGTCTGTTCACCTGTCCGTTTGAATGAACGTCTGGGTATGGGAAACTGGGACTCTTCTAATTCTTTGGCAATACGAGTTTATTTTAGTTATTATATTTTTTACAGCATTTCCGTCGCTAAAGAAGCCTGTAATACTGTCAGTACTGTCCACAGTTCCAAAGCTTCATAAACCTTGCACACGTAATTTATATTTAATTCTCTACCTCTGTTTCGAAATTCATCCAAATCGATTAAATTGAAGAAATGTTCGCAGTACCAAGCAATGGATTTTTCTTTCTTTTTCTTAGACATACTACTTATATAATTAGTTTCTTTGGTACAGGATATTTCACAGTCGGGCTGGCTTGACATTAACATTCTTTCTTAAAAAATGTTTTAGCCTAATCCCAATTATCAATTCTCGTTTAGTTTTGACCCGAAACAAAATATAGAAAAGAATAAGAATCTGATTTAAAAAGTGTATTTCAAAAATGCAAATCAAAAACTCTAATTGAAAATCTATAGAATAGAACCCCATGTTGTGAGGATATTCTTTAAAATGAATGCTAAAACAATCACACATTTGTGTGTTTTGGGTACCCAGCCATTTATGAAATAATGAATCAAAAAACTCTTTAAATTTGTTTGGTTCTGAGAAAGACAGTGAAAATTTAATATAAAATACCATTTATATTTATAAAAGAAAGCAGTTTATTGGACGATAAGTGAGGTTATGACTATAATGCATATTTATATTTAAAAATAAAAGTATAAGAATTTTCTTTCTGTGCACCGTTTTGGGTCGCCATGTCTACCTTGAACTTGGTTCTATTATCTTATCGTGGACACATGAAATTATTATTACCAATGTGTTGTATTTAAAACTCTTGCCAGACATTTGCTGACGCATAATTGCGACTCCTAAATGATTTTCAGCTCAATCTTATCGCTCAATTAAAATACATACAATATTGATGAACAGATTAAGGCAGCCACGACTTTGCTATATAAAGCAGAGCAGTCAGAGTTGTACAGCCCGAGAAATATGTAAATTGAATTAAATGGGTGCGTGCGTCTCTGTGTGTGTATTAACGTTATTAGAGGACCGGTTTGCGATTGTAGACAGAGCGACTGCAATTAAAGCCTAAATAAAATATGAAGTGTGCAAAAAATAAATGTGCAAAAATTGCAAAATTTGCATAATACGCGTATGTATATAAATAAAAAATAAATAAAAATCAAATTTTGGAATGTGAGCCGCACCACCAATTGATCTGTTCGTTTGTTTGATTTAATTACCCAACTGCCCAGTCGATATAATTCAATTTTTCAATTTTTGTATGATATTTGCAGTGCCTAATGGTAATGGCCGTGATTCTGTTGATCGCTCTAGCACTTGTACTCTGTTGCTATTGCGCCATCAATCGGCAAAAGATAAATGCGATTTACCTGAAACCGCTGCTAAAGAAAACCCGTCAGCTGACCAATAACACTGCCAACGATAATGCCGATGTTAATGGTAATGCCAATGCGAACGATTGTTATCATGCCACGCCGATACAGGGACGGCAGCGTCGCACCATTTGGGATATTCCCGGTCCACAGCGCATACCCTTTCTAGGCACCAAATGGATATTCCTTGTGTTCTTTCGCCGCTACAAAATGACGAAACTCCATGAGGTCTACGCAGGTGATAGAGAGCCTCAATAACCAAGTGCATATACTTAAAGGCCCTACTCTCCTCTGCAGATCTGAACCGGCAGTATGGGGACATTGTTCTTGAGGTAATGCCCTCGAATGTGCCGATTGTGCATTTGTATAATCGCGACGACTTGGAGCGTGTACTCAAGTATCCCAGCAAATATCCATTTCGTCCGCCCACCGAGATCATTGTGATGTATCGGCAATCGCGTCCCGATCGCTATGCCAGTCTGGGCATTGTTAACGAACAGGGACCAACGTGGCAGAAGCTACGCTCTTCCCTTACTTCCAGCATAACCTCTCCACGCATTCTGCAAAACTTTCTGCCCGCCCTGAATGCCGTCTGTGATGATTTTATTGAGCTGTTGCGAGCGCGACGCGATCCCCAAAGCCAGGCGGTCCATAATTTTGAGGAACTCGCCAATCTAATGGGTCTGGAGGCGGTTTGCACCCTGATGCTGGGTCGACGTATGGGGTTTCTGGCGCCCAATACCAAACAGCCACACAAGATCAGTCAATTGGCGGCAGCTGTGAAGCAGCTCTTTATTTCACAGCGAGACTCGTACTATGGTCTGGGACTGTGGAAATACTTTCCCACCAAGACTTATAGGGACTTTGCGCGAGCCGAAGACTTGATATATGAGTAGGTATATTGGTTTAATTCGTCAAATTTTGGGCAAAAAAACTCAATTACCTTTAACAGTATTATATCCGAGATCATAGACAATGAGCTGGAGCAGCACAAGAATACGGCCGCTTGTGAGGATGAGGACGCAGCAGGTCTGCGTAGCGTATTCCTGAACATACTGGAGCTGAAGGATTTGGACATACGCGACAAGAAGTCGGCCATTATAGACTTTATAGCAGCGGGCATTGAAACGGTGCGTATAATGGAAATACGGTAATAGCATTCAAAGAACAATTAGCATTCAAGACCCCATTGTAACTCAGAAAGTATGATTTTAATTTTGTTAGGAAAAGCATAAGGTTTTCGTATATTACTCAGGATTATTATGTGTTATTATTATTATATATGTCAGGATTATTAATACGTTTGTAAAATTGGTTGTAAACAAGCACACTATACAACATTTTCAATGAAATTACAAAAAAGCTGGATTCCAGTGTCAAGCACTGGAATAACACCATTTATGTTATAATATTTTCATGGTGAAGTTTTTTTTGGATGAACACAAAAGTCATTGAAACGCTGTATGTAATCGGAATACGGGAAAAATAACCAAAGCAGAATAGGTACCATTGAAGATCCCATTGTAACTCAGAAAGTATAACTTATTCTTCTGTTTCGAAAAGCAGCTCAAGGTCGAATATAACTCAGGATTATTATTTCTTTTGTATTGTAATATATGGATAAGTTTTTGGATGCATTAGTAAGTTTGGGGAAAAAATGAACATCGGAATACGGAAATACCAATCAAAGAAGAATAGGTACCATTCAATATCCCACTGTATCTCATATAATTATTTCTTCAGTTTGGAAAAGCAGTTCGAAGTCAAACATAACTCAAGATTATTATTTCGTTTAGGTTTCACTTTTTGAGTGCATGTGTAGTCTTGTGAAAATAATGAACATAAAACTAATCGAACAACTTTCAGTTAGCCAACACATTGCTTTTTGTGCTCAGCTCCGTGACAAGCGAGCCGCAAGCCAAGCTCCGGATTCTGGATGAGTTTTGTGAGTATCGCCACACGAACATCTTGCAAGATGCGCTGACCAATGCCACCTATACCAAGGCATGCATACAAGAGTCCTATAGGCTGAGGCCGACGGCTTTTTGTCTGGCACGGATTCTTGAGGAGGACATGGAGTTGTCCGGCTATTCGCTAAATGCCGGCGTAAGCATTACACCCTAAGTAATCCGATCTTTTAAAAACGAAATCTTCTCTTTTCTGCAGACTGTGGTGCTCTGTCAGAATATGATTGCCTGCCACAAGGATCGTAATTTTCACGAGGCCAAACAATTTTCCCCAGAGCGTTGGATCGATGCGTCTGGAAATTTTACAGTGAATGTGGACAGTGCCAGTATTGTGGTGCCGTTCGGAGTTGGTCGCCGTACGTGTCCCGGCAAACGTTTTGTCGAAATGGAGGTGGTGCTGTTGCTAGCGAAGGTCAGTCTCATTTTTCAATATTTTTTCTCCTCGAAACAATTTCATTAAGCTCGAATATCTGCAGCTTGTGCTCGCCTTTGATGTGGATTTTGTGGAACCACTTCAAACGGAATTCGAGTTTTTGTTGGCGCCTAAAACGCCGCTCAGTTTGGTGCTGCGCGATCGAACATTCTGACTGTGGCGAACATATTGTATTCAATACAAATATCTGTATATAGGTGAAGTGTTAAAGTTTAAGTAGCGGCAATTGTTTTGTGCGTAAACGTTGTAAACGGAAAGACTGTTGTAAGTTTGTTGATTGTAGCACGTAAGGCTATATTTTTACTGAACACTAGAAGCCTTTGAAGTCATTTAAATCGTTGGCTTGTTTTCCAAATTCCAGCGAAATCATACACAGCTTACGTTTTGAAAACATACTCGACATTTTAAAGAAATTTTCATTAAATATGTAGTTTACGACATTTAAGAGATAGGTTGTGAATACTGTTCAGTAAAAGTTGAGCCTAACGTTATATGCTTATGTGTATAAAATATTTTAATGTTGTACAGTAAAATTTATTTATTCCAATTTGTATATTGTATATATATATATTACTTTACTTTTATAATAGTTTTGTCTGTGCATATTTTTGTTAAAGGGCAAGAGTTGAAAACGAAATAAAGCAATGCTTTCAAATGTGCTTTAGCGGGCGTCAGGTTATTCAATTTTTTTAGGTTTTAGCACAATATATTATATTAAAAATTATTGAAAGTGAACGCTAAGGTGAGGGATAGCTTTTGATTGGAAATGGACATTGGACATCGTCTGAAGCAACTTGTCTTTCACTAACCTGCATTGGGCAAGAGACTACTCCAGGACAATCCTATGTAAGTAAAATAATATTCAATTCAAATCGGTTTTTTAGAGCAGCTTTGGAATTTATGAGCTGTTTATTCTTAAAAGTAAGATATTTAATTACTTATTTTTGCTTGAAGTGGAAAACATTTAAAAATAGCTTGTGTTTTTTTTAAATTAAATAACTTTTGTAAATACAGACCTCGTTTCTCGTTTAATTTTCGCTTTTTTTAAATAGCTCTTTCCTAATATCAAATTTGGTTTTAATAAATAATTGGAAATCGATGGTTGCTGATGGTTGCCGCCTTAACGGTAGGTTGTCAATGAATTTATGAGTTGGTTTATAAAATGATATTTATTGGTAAGGTTTACTTTAAGAAATTCACGGTAGATTATTACAATTAGTTTTTTTTTCCTGGAACAGCAATTATTCCATTTGAATGTAGATTTTGCAAATCAAATGGCCTTTTGAAAGCAGCCAATTTTATTTATGTTTTATTAATTTATCCCACAAGAGGCGGACAACTGTTAAAGAAGCCATTAGTTCTAGAAGAAATGTGTTTCTGCATAAAGATTTTATAAATATGGTTGTGCAAAGGCGTTACCTTTCGGAATTTAGCTTACTGATATCAATATGATCTTCATTTCCGCCGAATTGTGAAATTAAGTTGGCACAACTAATTAAGCTATTAAATATATATCTGTTTTCATTCATCAATTTTAAAAAATCTGCTAACAATTAAGGCACTTGTACTTTATAACGTATACTACAAAAGGTATCTTTGAAGAGCCCAAAAGTATGCTGCATAATTTTTAAATACAACAAAACCACAGGGTGCTTCACACACGCACACTAATACGAGTATCAGTAGTTATGTATGGACGTGTATACGCCACTAGAATAATGTTTACAAATGTTCCATTTAATTAATGGCGTATTTATTTTAATAACAGCACTTAATTTTTATAAATCGTAAAGCCCCCACCATTCCGGGCGTGGAACGCACAACACACAGTTTTACTGACAACAATAACACGAACAATTATTGCGCATAACCGCGACTTAAACAGCTGCGACAGTTGTATTGCCAACAACAACAACAATAATAACAACAAAAACACACAACGCATGTAGGAAGAACTGAAAGCAATAAGTATAGCCAGCAGCTCAACCCCTTTTCCAAAAAAGTAAAAGCCACAAAATGCGTGTTTATTAATTAAGCGCATTTGTTTTCATTAAATAAACGTTTTAATTGAGCATGAAAGTTGGCGCCAAAAACAGTCGAAAACGCGACACGACAATAGACGATGTGGCCATTAAAATGGCGACAGCAACCCCTTCGGATGGGTTGCCAACCACCCCTCCTCCCACCTGATGCCGTAAAGCATTTTTGCCAGCTGCGTTAAATATTTATACATAATAATTAATTTTGTGTATTTTAATGGATTTACATGCAAACATACAGTAGTCTGACATGATTGATGAAAATGTACACGAGAATGACTTACAAATTAAGCAAGGCCAGAAGGAAATGTGTATTCACTCACCTGCACATTGTTTAACCCATTGTTGTCGCCCGTTTAATTATGGTTTGCAAAATTGTCATAGCTTCTTGCACAATAAGCACTATTTAAGTACTGAAAAAAGAAAGAAATGAATAGTAAGTAACTCATTAGGATAAGTCATTAAAAGTATATAATAATTGATAAGAAATAGAGTTGAAATGCAATGAATATTTGAGGTGAGAAACAGATATCTACTTTCGTAGTTGCTTAAAATACAACGAACAAAAGAATATTTTCTGCATTTAAATGAAATCAATATTAACCATGCGAAAAAGTATACAAATGAATTAAGTTCGGCCTAACTTTACGCTATTTTTATAAACTTAAATTAGACCTCAATAATTAAATGCTATAGGGCACACATTTATGGCTTAATATAAGAGCAATACAGTGCCTGCTATTTCAACGTTTATTATCAGCCAACAACTAAACAACAACCTGCATTCATTGTTTTTTCGCTTCTCTTTGTCTAATGTGCCACTGGGGGGTAATTAAGTAGGGACTGGAGAGCCAAAAAGTTTTGCTAAACATCTCAACTTGTTGGGTGTTGTTAACAGCACTTTATGCGCCAACTCCATTGCATTAAAACCTCTCGACCCTTTTAATGATTGCTCTTATTTTCATAAACTTGGCAAATGCTTGGAAAAATCCATTTATTCGTTACTTTATCTATTCGCATCGGCCTTTGCAAAGTCATTTCGTATGTGAGTTATGACTTTCCTATGAATTATGGCCAGAGCCACGTAGCGGCTTAGTTGGCTGAAATGTTAACTATTTGAGCAGAACTAAGCGACCAGTTAGCGATTGAATTTGAGAAAATGAGGAGCAATTGTTGCCAATAGCTTAATTATTTATTTTCTATTTTCTTTATTAGTAGAATCATGTGTTTATACTTCGTAGTAGATTATATGTTTTATATTTAGTAGAGTAGATTAGTGAGTACGCTAGTTTAGTAAACGGCATCTATGGATCACTGCTTGGACTTAAGAAGCTGCTAACACGTGGCTAATACTGAACAAACTTGTTAAGTACATTCTCCGAGTCCCTTGGCAGCACGAGTATATTTTATATTATTCGGTTTTCGCCACATCATCCGCTATACAAATTCACGTAATGAATATATATTTCCGTATGTTTGTTTTAAATTTCATCCAAATCGGCTAATTCTAAGTAAAGTATTTTCACTTTCGTTCCTGCTCGACCGTAGCATTATACCTTGTTACTTTTTTTGTGATGCCGTAAATAAGTAGTTAATGGTCGATTCGTTTTTGTGCATAATACTTGTATATTCATAAAAGCCAGTTAAATATGTGTGAAAAAGTGAAAAGATGTTATGCAGTGAAGCTGTGAGAGCCAAGTGATTTTCCCTTCCAATTTTAGTTTATATCTATTTTTTTAGATTTTTCTTTTTTTCTTTTTAATATTGACATATTAGTTTTGTTTTTAAAATTTTCAGCTTTTAAGATAATTTTTATAATTTTTATATATTTTTCTCCCATGTCGACAGTCAAATAAATAAATAATAATGTTCGCTTGTGGGATTTTTTTTTTATATACATATATTTTAAACTTTTATTCTTTTATGCTCTCATTATGAGGTGGAAAAATCCGTAGTTAAAGTCTTTTCCTTAAAAGCTTCGACTAGCACAGCAAAACTTGATGAAAAGTGTGTTCTTAGCAGAGCATTAAATTCGATTTTTATATTGTTCTATAATTCTTTTATATATATTTATCATTTTGATCATATTTCATAATCCTTATTATGTATTATTTTAGCTAATATGCTTTATTTACCGCATCACAGAAATTTGTTTAGTTTTCCTCATCTCAAAGCTGCTAATCATCATTTTAGCTACTATGGATTCCTTATTTTCTCTAGTACTTCTCTTCCTCCTTCTCTGTTTCTGTCCCACTATTACACCTGTCCGACCATTCGCCACGAGGCAGTATAAGTTGTACGCTTCATTAAATCCAACACAATTTGAATAAATAATAATGCCAGGGAAAGAAGCTCTGATTACGCAAGAGAATGTATAAAAGGTCGCGCTGCCTTTGTTCCTCTGGCAGTCTAAATAGCAACAGCAGGGAGAATATACCTTCTCGCAATAAAATGTTAAAACTGAAGTAGGTCTAAACTGTTTTGAGGAATTATGTAATTCCAATTTGATCATTTCAGTTATTTTCTTTTCGTGTGTGTATTACTGGCCCCCTACTGTACATGTGTGGCTCCTTTTGGTCAGTATGTAACAGTTCCAGAATGTCCGAAAATAACAACATCACCGCAGGTAAGTATAACTGGAAAACAATTTTATGATAAAAACTATACAATTTTTATTTAAAGATTACGTACAAAGGCAAAATGACTTTCATTGGTGCTTACGTGAACATGAAAAAACCTCCGCCACAGAATTCTATTCCCCCTTCCATGTTTTGTATTGAAGTGGACTTTCCGCCGAAAAATACAGGAGAAGAATGGGGGAAGGTTTTAGGAACGGATAATAAGAGCTTTATCGTTTACTACGAGTGCACTGCTATCGACAAAAAAGCGTTCTCATGCAAGTGTTATCCGCATAGATGTTAATTTCATTTAATTTTGTGCATTCTAATTGTTTATACACTTCTTTTATAGATTCCGCCTATGTCTTTTCAAAAACAAAAAGTCGCGATCCAGCTATTGAAAAAGCGGTTAAAGAAATCTTCGATAAAAATAAGCTAAGCTTTAAGGATTTTATTTATGTTTGCTAGCGATATTAAATGCATTTCCAAGAATAGATGCGAACGCAGTAAAACACACATAATTTGGTGTACAAAAAATAAAAAATCTAATAATACTACGAAAAGCTTGTATGCAGAGCATTTATTCCATACACAAAAGAAAGTATATCCTACGAGTCCTAGAATGGAAATGTGACTGTAATTATATTAATAATATTGTTTACACTTAATAAATTCAGATGTTTCTGTTTTGAGTGATGCTCTCTCCAAGATTTTTATTAATTAATTTATTGATTCAAGAAATAATAAAATATATAAGAAAGAATAAACCAAACCAAACCGGAGCGGGCAGCTGCATTATCTTGAATTTAATTTTTCCCTATTTTTTGTAGTGCCAATAATTTGATAGTAAAAAATCAGCCAAAAAAATCTTGTCCCCCCTGGACTAATATCAGCCAACAACTAAACGCTTCTCAACAAACATTCATTGTTTCTTCGCTTCTCATTGTATAATATGCCACTGCGACCAACTCCATAGATATCACAGCATTTGCAAAAAGTTTCGCCGAACACCTTAACTTGTTGAAAGTTCTTAAAAGCCATCTCCATTGCATCAAAGTCTCACGACCCTTTTATGATTTTCATAAACTTGGCAATGTTAGCGGAAAGCCATTAAGTATTATAACAAGACTAAAACATTACTGTATCTATGGCCATCGGCCTTTTGATATCCGTCTGTGTGTGAATTCCATTCGCATGTGAGTTATCACCGGCTATGAGTTATGGCCGGAATCATTTGGCGGCTATTATTGGCAGAAGTGTTAAGTGTTAGATAAGCGCGCATAATTCATAGAAGCGTAAAAAATGAATAAAAAATTAAATATGCTATAATTGTTTATGTAAACGAATGTTTGAATAATTGAAATTGGTAAACATTAGAGCCGCTTACGGAGGCAAGTCTATAAAAGTTCGCGCTTCTTATGTTCCATTTCCCTTGCAAAATGTTAAAGCGAACGATTTTCGGAAACTATGTACATAATTCCATTTTGACGTTTCAGTTATTTTCTTTTGGTTGTTGTGGCGGAGGCTTCTGCCTTTCTGGATTTCAATCCTTTTGAGAACCTTGAGCCACGAACAGAACCCTGTCCCACATTTCCAAATGCATCCACCATTAGTATCACTAGTTTACAGTTTTATGATAAAAACTAAACAATTTGTTTTAAAGCTCACGTATAAAGGCAAAATGTATTCCGTTGGTTTGTATTGGGACTTGAAGAAACCAATGCCGTTCAATCCACTTAATTTAATATTAACTCATTCATGTCATGAGCAAAAATTTCCAGACGTATTGAGCTGGCAGATCCTGGGCACGGATAATAAGAGCTTCATACTTATATATAATTGTATGGCCATCAACTTAGATCAGACTCAGTTCGCAGGCAAGTGTTATCCTCGGATGTGTTAATGTTCTTGGCGAAATTATACTTATCTTGTTTTCTTTTAGATAACGTAATTGTCTTTGCTTTAACAAAGAAGTTGGATCCAGCTACTGAAAAGACTGTTCGAGAAATCTTCAGAAAAAATAAATTAAGGATGAACACTTATATTCCGGGTTGCAAATGATTTAAAGTCATTCTCAAATAATTAAGGCAAACGCAGATAGAAAAACACACACATAACTTTGTGTACAAATAATTATTTCATTTAAAAAATTACTTGCAGCTTTGAAAATTTTGACATATCTAATAAATGCCAATCTGTCGTTTTAGAGCCTAATCTGCATGCCGATTCCAGCAGCAAAAAAGAAATTAGTAAATGTAAAAGTTCCTTAGTACTTAGGGTTTCATAGAAGAGCCTGCGCGCTCATACTGATAGATGGAAGGGTATAGACTATTAGGCTATTGCGAATGTATGTAACAAACAGAAAGAGGCGTGGCAAACTATATAAATTCTTCATGAATGAGATAAGACAATTCAACTCCATCTGTTATCGGAAAGTTTAATGAAAACTGAAAGCTAAATTGAAAACTCCAATAATTCTTGGAACAATGTACCGAATTTGGTTTTACAAATCATACTTCATTTGAAGGCGGTTGTCAAATGTTTAGAATATTTTTCAAATGGAAAAGGGTCGGGTTCATGTAAGTATTTGTAGTCCATACATTAGAGGAGTTTTTCTTACAGGAGTGTTGCATGTTTGCATGTATTCAATGCCACATTTGCATTTGTAAGGTACGAATATTACGTTGTAGTCCATACGTCCACGATTTTTAAGTGTATAAGATAAAATATTTTTATTTGTCAACTGAAATTCTTATATCCTGTAACCGTAGCGTAAAAGGTAACATTAAGATTGTGCAAAGTAAGCATGTAACTGGAAGAAGTAAGCATCTCCGAGCCCGTAAAATAAATAAATACTTGTATATATTAATCAGGTTATGGAGAAGTCGCCTGTCCCAGTACTACGCTGTTTTTATTTTCAATTCATATGTATGCAGGTAGTTCAGGGGCAGTCTTTAGGTACAGGATATTTCATTGTCAGGGTAGTACGTTATATATTTACAATTTTGGATACGGACCGGCTATCTCTGTCTCTTACAATATAGTTTGTGTCTTCTAACATGTGTCTATTGTCCCCCATTTAATGGAATTTTAAACGGCAAGTTCCGTTCGTGATTTCCGATTAATATAGTTAAAAATTAAGACAAACCCACCTTGAATAATGAATTTTGTCAAGCATTAGCGTCGTTACGATTTAAATGAATGAAGTTCATGATATTTAGGTTTCAGTAACAGTACGGCAAAGAGATTGTTCTAAAACAATGTTAAAGTTGAGGTAATTTTTGAAGAGCTTTGAGGCTTTTAAAAAATGCTGTTTTTTTCATTACAGTTATATTTTTGGTATAAGTATCCTACTGGTCGAATACTGTTCTGCAGCGGATAAAACTGGCCCGTGTCCCTCAACTAAATCAGTACCGCAAGTGAGTATTTTGTAGATTCTAAAAATCTGCATATCGCTCATATTCGAATGGTTTGTAATTGTAGTCCACATACAAAGGCAATGTAATCCAAAGGTCACTGTTAGTTAGTACGATTAACTTTAATCAAACATTTTTCAACGTTTGTAATGAGAAGAAGTATCCATTTGAATCAAAGAATGATTATCTTACCTTGGGTACGGATAACAAGAGCTATATGGTTCTGTATAAGTGTAAATTTCATGAGAAAGAAAACAAGCATATAGGTAAGTTTTATATTTTTTTCAGATTTAAATAACCATTACCCTTCTCTACAGAAATGGCATTTTCATATGTTATGAGATCAGCCACTAAGGAATCTATCAATGCCATTGACGAGGCTTTTAGGAAAAATGGTTTGAATCCCAAATCTGTATTAGTTTTATGTAAAAAGTAAATCCTGTTGGCAATATTGCATTGCAATTGGCTCTAGAGTTCAAAATAAATTATTTGAATTTTTGAATTTGTAGTTCGGGTATTTTGGAGGGGCTCAGAGCTGCCTACCACTTATTTGTATAGTATTTTTGTGGCTCTTAGTTCTGCGTGAGAGCAGCCCACCTAAAGCATTCTCATTGGTTAAGTGGGTTTATTTTTTATTCATTGCATCTGCTTCTGTAACTTAGATATTGGTGTCAGTTCCTAGGCTTTATACTCTACCGCACAAATTGTAGTTTTGTTTGTGTCTACACGGAGTTGCTTGCGTTCGTTTCGAAAAAATTTGATTTTTTTCCCCAAGCGTCCATGAAAAAAAGATTATTCTTATTATTCTTCTTGCATGAGAAATATTAAAGAAAGAAAATTCTATGATACTACCAAATATTCTTCGTTTTCTAATAAACAATGAAGGCGTAGATATACGTGCATGTATTTGCAGAGCATTGCATTTCGCATCTGTATGCAACAATATGTTGTGTCAGTAGCAAAAAAATATATAAATGGTAAATAACGTCTTTTTCATAACAAAATAATTAAAAAGCGAACAGGATCCCCTATATATATTTTGAATCTAATAGCAAATAAAACGTACCTATAAAACTGTATTTCAATGTTAAAATGTCAAGAATTTAAATATGCAGGAACCAATAATAGTAGTGAGCGGATGAAGTGATTAGCAAGTAGGGCGGCAAAAAGAAGTCCCTAAAGATGTTTGTCTAATCTAATAAATTGCCCAAATTCTTAAAAGTGTCAGAAATATAGCTGAGCTTAAGGCCAATAATTTAAGCACATACCCAATTAGACTAGCTTATACACAAAGCTTATACAGTTTTTAAATAGCTCTCATAATAACTGGCTTAAGGAATTTGCTATTTCATTTGAATATTATTTATATAAATTATTCATTTTTATTGGCAAGTGAATGTTATTCAGATATTTGTATTATTGTTTGCACTCTGGGGCGAATTGTTTTAAGCTAAGTTTGTTTTTATTAAAGATTTCTCTAATGGCTTTGTCATCGACCGGATTTGGGCCCTTCTCTGACGTTAAGACATGCCCGTATTCTGTAAAAGATAAATATCATATTCAATCTGAACCATACGGCTATATGAGAAAACGAGTGCTTTTTTTTACCTATATAGTTGTTGGAGCTTTTGAAAAACTTACACCCGTAGAGCACAATATAGGTCGTATTATCTGTACCGATGGTAATGAGGTCAGTTGGGTCAGGATAGGAAAATTCAGTGGCCTTACAAGCTGGTAATTCGAAATCGAGCTTCGGAATAGGATTTTTGGTATCCAAGAACATGCCCGGATGAATTACTTTGCCTTTGTAAGAGGCCTACAAATATACCAATAGCATGTAGTTGGAATTTCAATCAATATCCGCGATACTAACCTTGTCTAAGGGGTGTGGAAGTTTTGGACATGATCCCGATTTCTTAACAACTTCTATATTTAAACTTTGACAGTACGGTGCCAGCAAGACACAATAGGTCAGAATATAACTATAAGAATTATGGGAATAGGAATTGTGTGCAATACCTAAAAGTTTGCCAAGCTTACCTCAGCTTTAACATTGTTTTACTTTTCGGAAGCCTACTTCTCTATCTCCATCTGCATAAGTAATATTAGATTTGTTCAAAACTTAAACGCTTAGAGCGTTTCAAATTTTTTGAAAATTATAATTATTTAAGGTGTTTTAATTAACTTTCTCATTTAAATATGTCGAAAGTCGTTGAAAAGGGGAAGCAGAGAATAATTGAACAAATATAAAGGTGTGTTTAGGGATGTGTATTGCGTCAAACTTCATTATTTATCCCATTAGCTACAAAATAAAGCTTGACTAAATGGAATAGTTCCACTATAGACTTGCCTATGAAAGAAATCAGCTATACAATTATTTGTTACTCTCATAGAAGTTAAAGACTTGCATTAATGAAATGTTTAGGTTGGAAAACAAAGAAAGCTTGCTAGACTTTAAAACAATTTATATCCAATAATTTCAGGTTCTGTTTATTAGCTTGTGCCTTACTGGCTTCACACAGTTTTAAGGCGCTACGATTTGGACCGTGCCCTATTTTGGAACACCCTGTGGATCCGGTGAGCTGTGCAGAAAATAAATTACAACTATTTATTAAATCTGATGAAATGTAAAACGTATTTTTAGCCAACATTTGAAGGCGCATTATATGAGCGCTCGATCTATTTTGATACGTATACCCCTTTTCTTCCAAACCATCTAGACTGTACCACTGTTGAGTGGCCAATTGCCAATAGCTCAGATCTTATCTTGGGTACAGATAATGCGAGCTACGTCGTCACCTATAGGTGCAACTTTTTTCCAAAATTCTACAGTCATGAGGGTAAGAAATTGTGCCAACTTGAATTTTAATTTTTACTATAAAAAAAATTATTGGTTGGCCGATATACTTAGAAATTGTACGAACATTTACGGTGGAGAGCAACCCTGAAAACTCGACGATAGAAGCTATTGAGGATGCCTTTATGAAAAATAATATAAATCCCAAGGCAGCTAGGATTTTATGTTGATTTTAAACGTTAAGCTAATAATGAATTGTGTTACCATTTATTGTAAAAAAAAACAAATGCTCAGATATCCTTGGAGAGGCCTTGCAATTGATTCTATTTCAATCATTGAAATTTGAGTGACTGAACGGTTTTATTTCGATGATAAAAAAGCTCTAAAAGCCGGCGATTGCCAATACTTGGTGCAATTCATTGAAAAGTATAAGAATTGGTATGGAGTAGTAAATATTCTATAGAATATTTTATTTTTCCTGGGTGATGGCCTTTAAAATAAATGAAATGTTTTCTGAAGGCGAAAAATTGACTAAAATTTGGTGTTCCTAGGTCTTATAGTCTCCGAGATATGGGCGATTATACGAATGGAAAATCAGGAAAGCCCCCATAGGGGTGAAGTGGGGGGGGGGGGAAATCAAAAAAATAAAACAAACTCGTATAGAATACACACATACGCCATCTTTGTGCAAAATTTGGTGTCTCTATCTCTTATAGTCTCTGAGATCCAGGTGTTCATACGGATGGACAGACGGACAGACAGACAGGGCTAGATCGACTCGTCTCGTCATGCTGATCAAGAATATATATATTTTGTGGGGTCTGCCACCCCTCCTTCTGTGTGTTACATACATACGCACACAACTAGTATAGCCTTTCACCCTTTGGGTACAGGCTATAACAACCAAAGGGATGGGCACTTGAACGTCTAAGAAAATTCCTACAAAAGCAACTTTGTCTTTGATTGTGGCCTGCAAATATGCAACGAAGCAACATGTTATAGTTCGAAAGCTTAAAGGTATGTACAGTGAAAACTCGCTTGGCCGGACACTTACCGTCGGCCAATTTTTGTCCGCCCAAGGGGAGTGTCCACTTAAGGGGAGTTTTCACTGTATATAGTGGTATTTGGAGTACCAAAAATACAAAAGGACGGACAACAATTTTGAAATGCATAATAGTACATTCTTCAGCAATACTAACTGTTAGCTTTGAATGAGGCAGTTTTGGACATTCTTCAGGTTTTGTTACTAAATAAATAAATAATAATTGCAGTTTTTGTTTGCCAATTGAATTCAATAAAATTGTTTGTATTTAATAGAATTAAGGAAGTCTTAACTCCAGTTGCCTTACATATCTGAAACTTCCTCTTTTACATTTTTAGTTTCTTTGGTAATGCAGTTATAAATATTAGACTTTACAAAAGGGGAACCATTCTTTTAAGCCTAGCTTATTTTTATCTAAGGCTTCTCTGATCCTTTTGTCAGTACCTGGATCGGGCCCCTTTGGTACAACGAATGCAGTTGCGATTTCTGTGATTGAGAAAAATGGAATTTGATTTAAAAAATGTACTATAAAATCATAAATGAAATAACGCTTACCAAAATTAAACTTTTTGCCATCGACATTATTTTCCGTACATACATAGAACAGGAAATAGCTCTTATTATCCGTCCCAATTAATGTGTAGCCCTCAGGATTTCGGAAATCAATGAGCTTACACGGCGTTAAATTGGGGCTCCCCCTCAAGGATTTCCCGTTTGTGAAAATTCCCACCATAAATATTTTGTCCTTAAGGGTGGCCTGCAAATATGCAACGAAGCAAGATGTGACAGAATTAAAAAGCTTCTTAACATTTTTAAGGGGCATAATAATACATTTTTGAGCAATACTAACTTTCGGTAATGGATGTGGCAGTTTTGGACATGGTCCAGGTTTGAACACCTCTGATTCTGATTGAGAGTATGCATAATATGGTGCCAGCAATGCGCAATAAACCAGAACATAACTAGAATTATGAACAAATACTTTAGGAGGCTATGTCCCAAAAGGTGTTCGGCTTACCTCAGCTGCAACATTGTCTTTATTCAGGGTAGGCTGCTATTCGTTCCCGTCCCAGGCTGCACTATTTAAGTAACACCAGCAACACTGAACTTTTATAGATTCATTTACGTAAGTGTTTGACATTTTTAATTATTTAAGGTGTGTTTACTTAAATGACTTATTGTGTGGAAAGCGTGGAGATATGTTGGGACAAGTATATTCGTTTTGGTGTGGAAGTAATGAAGCATTGCACATATGAGCATGGCGAGTAGAAACGAAACTAACCTTTTCTCATATACGTACTTGGATTCGTTATTAGATATACATAATTGTAATTTGTTCAAAATTAGCATATGGAGCACTTTAATGTTGTTGCTTACATCGACAGCCTTATTTATCAAAGAATAGACAAACAACAAATAAAATAAGAGATATATAATAGGAGTGAAAATATAAAAAAAGTAAAAAAGCTAAAGTCGGGTGTCCCGACTTTGAAATACTCTGTACATATGTTTAGAATATTTATAGAATTTAAAAAAATTAAAAGAATTAAAAAAAAGATTTCATCGATTTTACCTCTCTTGGTATTCGAACTCACGTAATTACTTAGTAATTGCGTCTATGTGAGTATATATATATATATTTATGCGCATCTATTCGTGTCTGTGTAAGCATGTTTGCAGTCAACCAAAGCATCAGCATCAATAACAGCTGCGGGCAGCGCTTGAGCAGCAAATATATTTATGGCTATAACTTTTTGTTAGATCGGTCTATCATAGTGAAATTTGGCATACGGACACATAACCACTTACTGTGGGTATTTGCATTAAATTTAAATTTGAGTTCGAAATTCCAAGAATTACGGGAGGTACGATTTGCGGAAGAGAAGGGGCAGGAAGGGAAATTCCAAAATACACATTTTCTGCGTATTCACATAAGGCATCTGGGAATAAAATTTGGTGTCCCTAGGTCTTATAGTCTCTGCGATATAGGCGATTATACGAGTGGAAAATCGGGAAAACCCCCACAGGGGGAAGTGGTGGGGTCTGCCACGCCTCCTTCTGCCTGTTACATTTTCAGCTCCCGCAAACCTAATATATTCTTGTACATTTCATGTACAGAGTACAGAGTATAGATATTTATATGTAATGGTAATGTATTTATGTATAAGTATAAGACATTACAAAGGTTTACCCAATGTTTTAGGCTTAGCTTATTTTTATCTAAAGCTTCTCTGAACCTTTTGTCTGTAGCTGGATCGGGCCCCTTAGGTACAACAAAAGCAGTTGCGGCTTCTGTGAATAAGAAAAATGGCATTTGATTTAAAAAATCAACTATAAGATCATAAATGAAATAACGCCCACCGAAATGAGTCATTCCGAGCAGAAAATTAATTTCGATACAACTATATAACAAGAAATAGGTCTTATTATCCGTCCCAATTAATGTTAAGTCCTTAGAATTTTAAAAATCTTTGCGCTCACACACAATAAATAATAATTGCAGATTTTGTTTGCCAATTGAATTCAATAAAATTGTTTGTATTTAATAGAATTAAGGAAGTCTTAACTCCAGTTGCCTTACATATCTGAAACTCCCTCTTTTACATTTTTAGTTTCTTTGGTAATGCAGTTATAAATATTAGACTTTACAAAGGGGCAGCCATTCTTTTAAGCCTAGCTTATTTTTATCTAAGGCTTCTCTGAACCTTTTGTCAGTACCTGGATCGGGCCCCTTTGGTACAACAAGAGCAGTTGCGATTTCTGTGATTGAGAAAAGTGGAGTTTGATTTAAAAAATTAACTATAAAATCATAAATGAAATAACGCTTACCTAAATGAGTCTTTTTGCCCTGGATATTAAATTCGATACAATTATAGAAAAGGAAATAGCTCTTATTATCCGTCCCAATTAATGTGTGGCCCTCAGTTTTTTTAAAATCTCCGGGCTCACACTGCCGTAAATTGGCGGCACTTCCCGGGGTGGTCGATTTAATGTTTGTGAAAATGCCCACAATAGTAATTTTGTCCTTGAAGGTGGGCTGCAAATATGCAACGAAGCAAGATGTGACAGAATTAAAAAGCTTCTTAACATTTTTAAGGGGCATAATAATACATTTTTAAGCAATACTAACTTTCGGTAATGGATGTGGCAGTTTTGGACATTCTCCAGGTTTTGTCAACTCTGGTCTTGATTGAGCGTATGCATAATATGGTGCCAGCAATGCGCAATAAACCAGAACATAACTAGAATTATGAACAAATACTTTAGGAGGCTATGTCCCAAAAGGTGTTCGGCTTACCTCAGCTGCAACATTGTCTTTATTCAGGGTAGGCTGCTATTCGTTCCCGTCCCAGGCTGCACTATTTAAGTAACACCAGCAACACTGAACTTTTATAGATTCATTTACATAAGTGTTTGACATTTTTAATTATTTAAGGTGTGTTTACTTAAATGACTTATTGTGTGGAAAGCGTGGAGATATGTTGGGACAAGTATATTCGTTTTGGTGTGGAAGTAATGAAGCATTGCACATATGAGCATGGCGAGTAGAAACGAAACTAACCTTTTCTCATATACGTACTTGGATTCGTTATTAGATATACATAATTGTAATTTGTTCAAAATTAGCATATAGAGCACTTTAATGTTGTTGTTTACATCGACAGCCTTATTTATCAAAGAATAGACAAACAACAAATAAAATAAGAGATATATAATAGGAGTGAAAATATAAAATAAGTAAAAAAGCTAAACTCGGGTGTCCCGACTTTGAAATACTCTGTACATATGTTTAGAATAATTATAGAAAACTAATGTCCTGCCCCTGCTTCGCACGGGTATTTTTACAAAAAATTTAAAAATTTTACCTTTTATAACACACACACATACACCCTTTTTTTGCTATGAGTTACTAAGAAGGAGTGAAATTTATTTTGGATATTATTATTTTAATGATTTTTTGTTCGATTTTAGATTTTTTGTTATTCTTTATTAGGTCAGAGGTTCTCTGTAAAGATTTTTGATGTTTTATTTGTGGTAGCAAAATAAATTGATTTTTAGGAGCTCCGACCCGTGATAGGTTAACATACAGTAAAACATTGCTTTCGTATGTCGTTTCCTACTTATTCGAAGGCTTGGCCTTAGGACTACCGGAAATTGAACCCATATAAATGATAAAATGGGATCATCGGTATCCTCATTTTATGAGCTAGTTGACCAGTTGCTGGGCCGTTGATAATAGTTGCTACACTTAAATTGTCCTGCAATTCCTTAAAAAGCAGCCTCGTCCCATTGCACATGCTTGTAAGGCTTTAATTTCTCAAAACCATGATTGTAATTCCGAATTTTACCGTCAATTCATGGGGCGGCAGTCCAGAAGGGTTTAGTGAATTTAAATGTCTTCAATATTAATGACGGTGTCGATCGATTTGTAATATTTTATTTGGCTGGGGGTTTTGAATAATATTGCCTTAATATTTAAAGTGACAATGTTTTGAGGATGATTGTGAACTGACAGCATGATATTCAGGAGTTTTTGAAGGTACTTTTTTTACACCTTTGGTTACATAATTGGCGTTTTAGTAAGGATTCCATTCTTTTTTGCAAATATAATATAGCCCATGTTCACTGTCGATAGTGTAGCTTCCCAACAGTGAAAGAATCCAATTCAAACAAACAAACAATCAAATCTTTCCTCTTTATAATATTAGTATAGATAAAAAAAATTAAGAAAATTAAAAAAAAATTGGATCTATTTTACCTCTCTCGGTATTCGAACGCACGTAAAGGGTGTATAATTGCACATTTACTTAGCAATTGCGTCTATGTGAATATAGTATATTCCCCCCCATAGGGGGAAGTGGTGGGGTCTGCCACGCCTCCTTCTGCCTGTTACATTTTCAGCTCTTGTACATTTCATGTACAGAGTACAGAGTATAGATATTTATATTTTTTATGGTTCCTTTCACATTTTCATTTTCTTTGGTAATGTATTTATATATAAGTATTAGACATTACAAAGGTTTACCCAATATTTTAGGCTTAGCCTATTTTTATCTAAGGCTTCTCTGAACCTTTTGTCAGTACCTGGATCGGGCCCCTTAGGTACTACAAAAGCAGTTGCGGCTTCTGTGAATGAGAAAAATGGCATTTGATTTACAAAATCAACTATAAGATAATAAATGAAATAATGCCCACCGAAATGAGTCCTTCCGAGCAGAAAATTAATTTCGATACAACTATATAACAAGTAATAGGTCTTATTATCTGTCCCAATTAATGTTAAGTCCTTAGAATTTTGAAAATCTTTGCGCTCACACACCGTTGTATTGACGCCACTCCCCGGGGGGATCGATTTAATGTCTGTGAACACTCCTACAAAAGATATTTTTTCCTTGAAGCTGGGCTGCAAATATGCAACGAAGCAAGATGTGACAGAATTAAAAAGCTTCTTAACATTTTTAAGGGGCATAATAATAAATTTTTGAGCAATACTAACTTTTGGTAATGGATGTGGCAGTTTTGGACATGGTCCAAGTTTCAACAACTCTGATTCTGATTGAGCGTACGCATTATATGGTGCCAGCAATACGCAATAAACCAGAACATAACTAGAATTATGAACAAATACTTTAGGGGGCTATGTCCCAAAAGGTGTTCGGCTTACCTCAGCTGCAACATTGTCTTTATTCAGGGTAGACTGCTATTCGTTCCCGTCCCAGGCTGCACTATTTAAGTAAAACCAGCAACACTGAACTTTTATAGATTCATTTACATAAGTGTTTGACATTTTTAATTATTTAAGGTGTGTTTGCTTAAATGTCTTTTTGTGTGGAAAGTGTGAAGATATATTGTAACAAGTATATTCTTTTTGGTGTGGGACTAATGAAGCATTGCACATATGAGCATGACGAGTACAAACTACTTTATTCCCAGGTTTAGACTCGGATTAGTTATTATATAAAATTGTAATTTTTTAAAATTAGCATATATATTGTCTTTTTTATTTTGTTGCTTACATGCAGAGCATTCTTTATCGAACAATAAGCAAACAAAAAGTAAAAAAGAATACTTACGTTCACCCCCTTAAGTGACTACATAATATATGTAAGAGTGATACTGGTTTGAAGTTACGAAATTTTAACATCAAGGCTGGAATGGAATCGGGAAACTCGCCAAGTTAGAATGACAAACTCAAACTCTTTCTGAATCCGAATATGTGTAATGGATAATGGTTTGTTTTAAAAAAGTAAAATACAAAGGGAAGTGTCAATCCTGGACTCCGTCGATGAGTAGATTTACATTTCAAAACAAAAAGAACGAAAAAAAACCATTCGGATCAATTGCGCTCTAATTGAACGAAATTTCCGGAATAATTTTTGACATTAACATGGTGCATATTTTATTTCTATATATATTTTTTTCTATAGAACTACCATTTTTAGCAGAAAGTAAAACCGCTGAAAACCGACTTGAGAATTTTAGTCATTGAAATTTAATATATTTCTAGTATATTTAAATCGACTACAAAAAACTTCAAATTAAAGTTCAGAAAAATATTGTAATTTACTATGGAATATAAGTAGTAAATTTAACTATTTCTTTTTTGAAGCGTGTGCATATTAATATTAAATATGGTTCAACATTAAATTGAATATGACACACTTTAATAACGAAGTTTTACACTTTGTTTTGAATTTTATTCATATTAAAATCACTAATTGAATATGTTTTTAGTTAAATTTATGATGTTTTTATTTGATTTGAATATGAAATAGGTGAACATTAAATTTAATATGAAAATATTCATCCGTACTATGCAACTTTTTTATCAGTGTAGCCGGTGAGAACTCACATGCGAATGGCATTCACACACACACAGATATCAAAAGGCCGATGGCCATAGATATAGTAATGCTTAAGTCTAGTTATAAGACTTAATGGCTTTCCGCTAACATTTGCCAAGTTTATGAAAATCATAAAAAGACCAAGAGATTTTGATGCAATGTAGATGGCGTATAAAATGCTTTTAAGAACTTTCAACAAGTTGAGGTGTTCGGCGAAACTTTTTGGCAAATGCTGTAATACCTATGAAGTTATACTATATAGCGGTGTGGCTCGCTAGTCCCTACTTAATTACACCCCAATGGCATATTAGAATAAGAGAAACAAAAGAATAATGAATGATAGTTGAATAACATTCAGTTGTTGGCCGATACTAATTAGTTGATCCAATAGAAAAGTATGAAAGTATTAAATCATTTCTTATAAAATGCCAGTAGCGTGCTAAAAAGGTACACATATATCTACTACCTCTGTAAAATTGATATCTGTGCTAAATTTGTTTTTGATATTACCGATATTTTAATAGAGATATATATGTTTGTTTTTTATCAGCTCATAATCTCTAGTACCTTTACAATTAGAAGAATATCAAGTCATCAATTGATAATTGTGCAATTAATCTTTGTACATTTTATTATCTCCAGAAAAAAATTTTATTGTAAGCACATTTACTGGAGGCTTTTTTCTTAAAAGCCAAATTGTTGTATTTTGGCGAACCTAAAATTAATAATAACTGAAAATACCCCGCGGAATCGAGTTAAACACGGAAAATAAAATAACAGCTATAGCTAAGCTAAAGTCGGCTGTCCCGACTTTGAAATAATCTGTAATCTGCCTCCTGTGCCTGTGTAAAGCAGCAGCAACAACAACAGGTGCGGGCACTGCTTGCTCATATATACATATATGGCTATAACTTCCTGTTTAATCGGCCAAGAATTACAGGAGTTATGGAAAATCACTAACTGCGAGGGAGAGGGAGGGAAATTGAAAAATACACATTTTCTGCGTATTCATTGGAATAAAATTTGGTATTGCTAGGTCTTATAGTCTCCGAGATATAGGTGATTATACGAACGACGTTTCCGAAATAGGGGGAAGTGAGGGGAAAATCAACAAAATATAACAAACTCGTATAGCGTACACACATAAGGCATCTTTGTGCAAAATTTGGTGTCTCAAGCTTTTGTAGTGTCTGAGATCTAGGCGATCATACGGACGGACAGGCAGACAGACAGGGCTAGATCGAATTTTACCCTTATATAATTTATTATAATAATACAAATATTTTATTTGTATAAACTTAACTTGAATCAAAACAGATTACTGCCGTGCAAGTGATCGGTGCTCGTTGGGTCATTTATAGGCAAAGAAAATATGCTAGAGGAACAGCATCAAATTATAAAATCGTTCATATCTATCTATATATATTTTTGCTAATAATATCAAGTCTATTGGAATCTAGTTATTTAAGTATATTTACCCTCAAAAGTCTGCCATGAATTTGAAACCTGAAAAATAATGTGTCGCCGCTGAACGTGCATCTTCTATTTTAAATCTAACTTTTGCGTTCACATTCATTCCTTAAGTGGTTATTACTCCGGCTTTGCGAATTCAATTTGTGCCAATGTGCTTGGGGCGGAGGAACAGTTGGGGTGGTTTGAGGGGTTTCAGCTGATGTGGGGCTGATACTACCAGCGCCTTGTAGTGGCGGCAAATGTCATAAAAATATGCGACATTTCGTTTTTATCGCTTTTGAAAAACTTTATTTTTGGCGTTTGGCATTTGCTGCGTTCTTCGTTTACTTGGCTTTTTATTTTATTTACAACAGCAATTTCTTTGTTTTAAACAAGCAGCGCATTGTTTTTTATTTGTGTGACTCGATTGGCGATTGGAAAGCATGCGATTGGCTGCCATTTGAAAATTGTTGGAATGGGCATGTTAACAAAGCGCACAGTGTGCCTTAAAATTAATGTTCGAGAACAAACTTTTTGTTAAATTGTTCTAGGTTTTCTCAACTAATTAATGTGCAATTGTAGTCTAAAGCATGAGGCTGAAGATTATGGCTGATAACCTCCCAAGTCGGTTAATTACTATTCGATAGTTGGCTTCTTTTGTTATCCATAACTGTTTAAGTATAGCAAATGAAAGATGCTGACTTTAGTTTATTAAATAGTTACGGTCGTTCCTATTTTGATTTGAAACTGGTTGAATCTTCTTAAACTTGAGATTAAATATTTTCTTAAACAAATCTACCATCGATGGTAGCCGTGCACTATCGATTGTTTTAGATAGTTTTTCTTGAAAGCTATATTAACAACTAACAAAGGGCGCACTATATAATTGTAGCTCGCAGCCTATATTAAACTTTGTAAAACAATTTATTAATATTAATTATAAAATCGAATGTACTATCGATAGTTTTTCTTGTACTCTTTACCAACAACTAGAATTTCAACATTAATAACGAAATATTAAATTTTTTGTTGAATTTTAGAGTTTTATTTGTTTTAAACCTATATGTGTACATACTTTTAAACATATTTGTTTAAATCAGCTTACTATCGAAAACTATCGATGGTTTTCTATCGGGTACTATCGATGGTGCTGACTATCGATATTTCTCCAACTCTAATCCACCCTTCATTTTTTTTTTTTACAGGAGTTTTGAGTGTCAAGTAAAATACATGTTTTATACATATACAAATTGTGATAGTTTCGTAATTCATTTCCAACATTACAGCTTGAGCGGGTGAATCTCCTTTTGAATAAAGACATTTCCAAATAATATACATTGCTATAAAGCAACAAATGTCTGTTCATTTTAACTCATGTTTTTGGGACTTAAGCCCATTGTATATGGCGAAGACCGCTCCCCACTGTTGGTGGCATTAACATCATCAACAACATGGCTTCCAAAAGGCACTTCAGAAAACAGCTTTTGCGCGTCGCCATAAAATGCAATTGGTCAGAGAGGGCGAGCGTGCCGCATACAGAGCTCACAAAACAAAGGCCAATGCAAAAGAAAATCACAAAATGAAAAACGAAGAAAAACAATTAAATGCCAAGCAGTGGCGGTAACGGCAACAGCAAAAGCAACAGCAGCAGTAGCAGTAGCAGCAGCGGCAGCTCTAAAAGAAAACAAGCAAATAAACTTGTGAGCATTTGTGACACGTCGAAAAGCGTCCGCGCCACTGCCAAGCAACTCAGTTTAATTGAAATCAAGCTGGTGGAATGGGATGGTGTTAAGGTGGTCAGGGGGAGGTGGTTGAGTTCTTCTGTCCAGTAGCCAACAATTGCAAATCGAATTGAAACGCCAAACGTATTCGAAAATCGACAGCAAACGTAATTGAAATTGCATGAGAAACAATGTGGGCGGGAGGCAGCAGATGAATGGTGAGGGGTAAGTCGGGGATGAGATTGGGAAATATAGACGACGTGAATGCCCCAACACTTTGCACACATAAATTGGCAACAAGGCGGCACTGCGACAGTGAAAAAGTTGAAAAGAAAATTTCTGCCCTCAATTTTTTTCGCATGATTTTCAATACGTTGGAACCCCTGCACCCCCTTGTTGCAAGCACAAATTTATGAGCCATGTTAAAGAAATGAAAATGCCAAGTCTATGAAAAGTTTTGACTGCCGCCACTTGGGCGCAGCTCAATTTCGTCGATTTGTTAATTTAGCAGCAGAGAGGCTTGAGATCAACTTTTTAATTACTGCGTCAAAATCTGTTTCCTGTTCAGTGCCTGCCTTTTTATTGTGATTTATTTTACTTGCAACGCCTTAAGCAATTTGCAAATTGTTTTCTAAGCACACACACGCACACACACACACGTGCACACTCTTGCGCACATATGTATACATATATAGATGTGTT